GAGCAGACCGATGTCCCGGCGACTCGGGTCCGGTGCGCACACTCGAAGGGACTCGGGGAGGCGGTGTCCACCTCGGCGGGTGGCGACCAGCTCCTCATCCCCAGCTCCCATCCGGGTCTCCCGCCACCCGCCCCGCCCACTCACCATTTCTCGGCTCCCGGAGCCCCCCTGCCTGCCTTCCACCTTCCGACTCCCTCCCGCGGCGAGCGGCGAGCGCTGGCCACCACCACAGAGGACGCGTCCACCCCCTCAGGCCCTCGGCAGAGCGGGAGGACGCACGGCGTGGCCCGGGCTGGAAGCTACCGGCGAGCAGTCCGCTCCAAGCGCGCAGTCCACCCGCGTAGCAAAGCGCCACGCCCACAATTGTTACCAAGGACTCTCCTGATTGGACAGTTGCAAGGCCCCGCCCTACCACGACTGAGTGACAGCAGGCCGAGGTCTATGAGCCCAGGTTGTCTTGGCAGCGGGTCACAATCTGCCCTTTGTAGCCTAAGGCCACTCAGGAATTATGACTCTTCTTCACATTCACTTAAAAATGATAAAAATGACCTCGCGTCCTGAACGGTTTGGCTCAAAAATGATAAAAATGACCTCGCGTCCTGAACGGTTTGGCTCAGTAGATAGGGCTCCGGCCTGCGGACTGAAGGGTCCCAGGTTCGAGTCCGGTCAAGGGCATGTACCTTGGTTGTGGGCACATCCCCAGTGGGGGGCGTGCAGGAGGCAGCTGATCGATGTTTCTCTCTCATCGATGTTTCTAACACTCTATCCCTCTTCCTTCCTCTCTGTAAAAAATCAATAAAATATATATATATTTAAAAATGACCTCTCCATAGCTAAAGATCAGTCTGGGTCCATTTTGATATCTGGCCATTTCCGGAGGGGAAAGGTCGGCCCTTGGGTCCTCCACCCCCACCCCCACTCATCTGGCACTTTACAGAATCCTGTGGTGTCAGGGGCACTTGATTCTGGAGGGAAGTTTGAAGCCCACAGTCCTAGACCAGGCCCCAAGCCCCAGATGCCAGCATGTGTGAAACATATGAGGCAAAGTAACCACCGGAAACCTGTTCTAGGAACCCCATTCATACCCATTTGGTGAAAGGTCAAAGGAGGCAAAACTGAAAGAACACGGCTTAGTGAAAAGTAATAGATGGCAAAGAATAAAGAATCAGGACAGTGGCCATCTGTGGGGCATAACAGAGCTAAATCAGGACAGAAACATCAGGAGACCCTCCCCACTGCCACAGGCCATTTGTGAATCTTGATCCCAAGGGTGTTAATATTGTTCTGACTAAATTGTACCGGAACGCATTTTGTATGTTCTTATCCGAATATATATATTTTTAATTTGTATTTATGTATTTTTAATTTAGAAGTCGTTTTATCTCTTCCAATGGAAAGAAATGTGTCAAGTCTGCGGAAGGGGACAAGGACATGAAGTATCTGAGGAAGCGGGTTGGGTGACTGACTATCTCCTGTCTGAGCTTTGTCAGCACTTTGGTGAAGTCAGAGCAGGAGCACCTGCTGGAGGAGCCAGCACAGAGTCGTGGGCAGGCGTGGGCTTTAAGTTTCTCCATTCCCACCGTTTGCCTCTTTTCCTCATCTATGACCAGCAGGGCGTGCATGTCAGCCTGTGCTCCTCAATGTACAGGTCCCCAGGTTCTGTCCCGGGGGGCAGGTGGTGATCTGCCTCCCAGATGTCTCTCTGCCTATTTGGCTTAGTTTTCCAGCATCTGCTCACAGGTTCGGGCCACATCGCGGAGCTTGAGGCGAGCATAGTCCACTCGCTGTAGTGCCATCTGACAGTCCTTCCTTGAAGAGTAGCTGGAGCCCTCGTGGGGCTGCCCTGTGGCCACCTGGGTTAGGTAGCGGATCTGAGCCGACAGCTCCGCTTCTACGTGTTGCACCGACGCCCTGAAGGCCGCCGCGTGTCGGTGTAGCAGCCGCTCATTGGGTTTTTCCTTGGAAAGTTCCAGGATCACGGTGCCTGCATTCTGCAGGATGGCGCCGATTTCCCGTTCGATGTCTTCCAAGGCGCGTAGTCGTGGCTCGGTTGCTAGGCTGTAGGTAGCCATTGTCTGTCGCTAGGGGAACCCACAGAATTTTCCCTCTCTCCGGGTGTTTGAGCTGATTGCTGACCAACTAATTGTTGGGCTGCTGATATTTAGGGCAGTGTCCCCAATTATAAATCCAGTCCAGCCCAAGTTAAAAAAAACAGAATTGGTCCTTCTCTGTAACCACAGGATTAGCCCTGCCTAAAGGAGGCCTCAAAAATGAGATAGACTCACTGGCTTGGCTCAGTGGAGAGAGCGTTGGCCCCACTGTTCAATTCCTGCCACTTACCAAGGTTTCTGACTCTATTCCTCTACAAAAGAAAAAGTCAATAAGATATATTTTAAAAGAAAGAAAAAAAAGGCAAAAGGTTAATCCTACCTGAGGATAAACCAGAACTCACTCTGTCGCGCCCAAGTTCCCTTCCCCAAGACCTACAACTCCTAGTTCAGTTATGGTGGCGTTTTAGCGCTAGAGGTATTTTCTGCCCAAAGTTTGCACAAGACGTTTTTCAAGTAAGTTTCTTGTATTTAGAAATGACAAGTTAAAAAAAAGTCTTTTAAACTTGAAAAGGATTGTACTCTGCGCAGGGTATTATGGATATGCAAATGAGGCTCAGTCATCACCCTTGATATTGTACAGATACCTTAGTAGTCACTGGGTGCCTCTGGAGCCACCATTAGAGGGCGAAGCAGAGGTCAGGCTGACTGGGCTCTAAACCTCATTCTGGTTCAACCATCGAAACTGGTTTATTCCTTTTTTTTTTAAAATTAAATCTTTATTGTTCAGATTATTACAGTTGTTCCTCTTTTTCCCTCCATAGCTCCCCTCCACCCGGTTCCCACCCCAGCCTCAGCACTCCCCCTCCCCCCGAGATTGTGCTCATGGATAGGCGCACTATTTTTGTGCAGACTCTTCTGTCACTTGCAGCAGTCACATAGTTCTGCCCCACTTTCACAGGTAGGAGCGATACACTCATCTCT